ACCTTGTCACCATGGAACAGTCCAGGCTCATCTTTATTTTCCCGGCCATCCTGTGGAGTCGGCCGTTCTCCGAGGAGCGCAGTGCCTTTGGCCGGAGACGGCGTTCGGAAGCCAGGATCTGGGTGTGGGTTTGTGGCTGATCTGTCACTTCAGGTGTCTCTGCCCCTCGCGTGTCCTGTGAGATCTGGTGAGTTAGAGGTGGTGCTGTGTTGCTGGGTATGTGAATACCAATACTGGGTACATAGATACCTGACTTCCAGCGTTCGGAAGTGTCCACGTCTGTCGCCATCCGGCCTCTGCCTGTCGGCCCGCGGTTCCCGCGTCGCCGCCTTCAGCCTCCCCGAGTCCCTGGTGTAGGCGGGTCTCTGTTCAGCATGTGCTTGTGTTTTGTTTTATGAGCCATGCTGAAAATCTGTTTCTTTTAAAAGATGAGTCAAACCCATTCACCTTCATCGGTGCGACGGCCGTGCTGTCTCGACTCTGCCGCAGTGTTTCGTTACTGTGGGCGTTTTTATCTTCGCTGTGTTTCTCCTACAGGAGTGTGTTCTGGGCTGTGCAGCTGATTTCTTGCTGGCAGTTAGAGACGCTCACATGTGTCAGTGTGGGCGCGTCCTCTTCCCCGCGGCCGTGGCGACCTCATCTTGGAAAGCTAACGGTTTCACGAGGGCCGTCTCAGCGCTGATTGTTCCGGGCTAGTTGTCCCAGGTCCCCGCTGGCCCTGCCACGTGTAGGCTTTGGTCTTTTCTGTACTTGGGACGTTTTCTTGGATTGTGGTTTCAATATCCCTCTTCAGTATCCATCATACCGATTTTCTTCCTCGGGGACTGACGGCACGAGGACGGTTCCCTCTTCGCTGCCTCCCGCCCTCCCCGCCCTCCGTGCCCTCCCTGTCTGCTGCGGCCCCGCCCGCCCCTCCCCGTGACCGTCCGTTTCCGAGGTGATTGGGCTCTTCCTCCCCTTTCTGTCTTAAGTCAGGGATCAGTAAACTCCAGTCTCATTTCCTTGTTTTTTTATTTTTTGTTTGATTTTTAACTGTTTCCTAGTTTGGGGAGTTTTTCATTCAAGGTGACTTTCATATGTCCTCAAATGCTGGCTTTAAGTCTATTCTATTTTGTCGAAAGCATTGTCTTACAGCTTTCTTGTTTTTCAAGGGTGGATTTGTCACTGATACGTGTGGATTTTCATTTTCCGACTGTCCACAGTGACTCCTTCTCGCCTGTGCATTTCTGTGGTTTTCGGTGCATCCCTGTGGTTTTCCAGGATCCGTGGTCCAAGGGCGCCCTCTCCTGGCGGCATTGCGAACTGCAGGCAGCTGGGCCGGCTGGGCCGGTAGCGGGTGGGGAGGCTCTCTTCTCCCAGGACCCTGAACTGCCCCCTTCACTCCTTTCCTGTCACCACCCACGGGTCGGGGGCTCCCCGGGACACCCTTGCCCTCGGAGGACCCCTTCCCGCCCCACGCTGCAAGGTCCCCCCGGCGCTCGACCTGCCGGGGCACACATTCGGGGTCTCCGGTGTTGGGAGGCCGTAGCCTTCCTGGCCGTGGTTCCCACTGACCTCAGCCTGCCCCCTCCTCTGCCCTTGCCACGTGGCCTTGCTGGGGGGCAGATCCCACTCTGGGGTGTGCCGGTTCTCCTACTAGAGTCGCTCTGAGGTGCGGGCGTTCCTTGTCTCCCCTGCGCAGAGGGCGTGATGTCCTCTGGGTCCGCTCCCTCCCGTGTGCACAGTTGTTCTGGAGGAGATGTCAGGACGCGGGCAGCTGGGCAGCAGGTTGTCTCGGCCCCTGGAAGTGACGTCGAGCTCACACCTGAGGCTTTGTTACTTCTGTTCCTTACAGCCTGCTCTCGGCGGCCTGACACGTGTGTGCGGATCCCACGGACAGCGGGGGGGAGAGGAGGGGTCAGGGCAGGTCTCGTGCCGTCACAGGTGCGCGGCACGCGGGTGCTGGCTGCCGCTTTGACCCGAACTGCTTACTGTGTGTAGTTGGTGGGGGCAGGGGGAGCGGATTGGAACCCCACAGCCAGAGCCACCGGCTGCTGTCCCAGGCCTGCCGTGGGCTCGCAGCTCTCAGCCCACTGCTTGGGCGGGGGCTCCTTGGTGGGTCCATCCCCCGCCCTGGGCTTGGACGTTTCTCCTCTGAGACAGCCCCAGGTGCCAGTGGTGCTGGGGTTGGGGTTCTGGGCCAGTCTGGGTGGGTGCCAGGACCGTGGCGGAGCCGGAGCAGGGCCACCAGGGCCACCTGTGCGCGCAGCCCTGGCCGGCTGGGACTGGGGCGGACGGCGATTCTCCCCGTCTGGCTTTAGCGCGGAGTGTTTGCAGCAGGTGGGATTTGCGCGGCACTCCGGGGACCGAGACCGGCCGCCTTTTATTTGCTCCTTTCAGGAGCTCTGGGACGGGGCAGGTGGGGCGTCCAAAGTGCCATTTTCAGGAACCCTGAGCTGGGCAGATCAGCTTGGGGCGATGGCGATGATGGTGTGGGAGACGTGGGCTCCTCCGCCCTTGGCCACGTCTGGGTCCTGAGCTGGTGAGCTCACCCCAGGGGAGGCATTCATCACGGCCATTCTGGAGCAGGTCCTGGAGAGGAGAGAGCGGGTCCTCCTCCGTCTCGGCCCTGGCCGTGCCGCCTGGCGGGCTGTGGTGCCCCAGAGGCCGGGCCGAGTGTCCAGCGCGGCGCGTGGTCCAGCCGGCCCGCCACCCCTCCAGGGATGGCCGCTGCCGGGTGGTGTTGTGGCAGTGGGCCGTTCCCCCTCGTTCCTTTTCACTGCTGATCTCGCCCCGGCTGCCGGGTGGTGTTGTGGCAGTGGGCCGTTCCCCCTCGTTCCTTTTCACTGCTGATCCCGCCCCGGCTGCCGGGTGGTGTCGTGGCAGTGGGCCGTTCCCCCTCGTTCCTTTTCACTGCTGATCTCGCCCCGGCGCCGGGGTGGGGGGGTCTCAGCTTGTTTCAGCACAGGATGCTCCTTGGGGGCTGTTGCGGAGGCTGGAGAGGGAGTCGCTAAGGAAGCCTAGATGGTTCCTTCACACCAGCAAAGTGCCCCAGAGCGACTCGGGGCGGGTCTGAAGGAGGCACCTCGGTGGCGCCTCCTCTCTCGACTCTCGCCCGAGTGATCAAGGTCGGAGACACTCCAAGAAGCAGGGCAGAGTGGCCCTGGGGCCTGAGACAGGAGAGGGGACGCAGCAGGGCACGGCCAGGCCTGGGTTCCTGGGGCTGCAGGGCTGCCGGCTCTCAGCATCTTAGACCTGGAAGGAGAAATGCGTAAAATGCCGTTGTGACCTTTGCACTTGACTGTACATGAGCAACTTTAACATCAGAACACAGACGCTTAGTTTCGCCGAACGGAACAACGAGCGCTGTCCGTTGGGAGTTCTGTAGTCTGTGCCCGGTGGGGTGACGTGATGGAGGTGAGGTGACACAAGGTCCGTGAGGGGCCTCGGAGCACGAGTCGCCCCTTTCCTCCCGCCCCCCGCCCGCCTCCCTGCAGCACTAACACGACTGTGTCTTTCTCGCCACCAGGGGTCGGGCCCGGGCTCGGTGGTCCCCGGCGGCTCCGGCGTCGGAACCCCCCGGCAGTTCGCAAGGCAGCGCATCACGCGGGTCAACCTCAGGGACCTCATATTCTGTTTAGAGAACGAGCGCGAGACAAGCCATTCACTGCTGCTCTACAAAGCGTTCCTCAAGTGACGCGGGACGGCACGGCGCGTGCAGACGCCTGGGACGCTTTTATATGTTTGCAGATTACGCCTTTTTGTAACAAGCAAATGGGATATTGTTTAAAAAACAGCCACCTCTTTACAATGGAACAGTTTTATATTCCTGTTTCTAAATCAACTCTTCAGTATGAAAGAAAATACGTTTCTGTAACCGAGAGAACACAAAGGCCTGTGGATACTCTTAAGGACAATTAAATCTTAACTCATCTTTGATTGAGTGGCCTTCTTGCCAAACAAGCCATATATAAAGACTGATGGATCGTTTAGCAAATAATTAGCTGCCCTCTGTCAACGCGTAGCAGTTTCCACATTGTCTGTGCATCTCGTTTTAGTTCCGCCCAACTTTCCACGTAGGTGTCTGTCTGCCGTCGGCGACCTCATTTCATTTATTTTATTTTTGTGAAGTCAGTTGGCAAAGCAAACTGATTTTTAGACTATTTATCTCCCCCGCCCCGCCCCAGTTCAGAGTCCTCGAGGAGCACGCGAGTCACCGCAGCGCCGTGGCCTGGGAGCAGCCACGCTCCCGCCCGGCCGGCCGCGCCGCGGCTCCCGGAGTGTGCGGTCGGCGCCTGTACAGACGCGTTTATTTGCTGTAGTTTGTAAAGCTGTAAAGTTAAAGAGATGAGAACCTTTTCAGCATAAATATATTTTACTTGCACTGTGTTTTTTAGCTAAAGTGAAAACTTAGATTAAATAAAATCAAAGTTGAGAAGAATCATCAAAGACTGTTTCTCAGTGTGAATCAAGTGTTGGAAAACGGTGTATTTTGTCGGTGACTGTACAAACTCTGGCACAGGACGCAGATGGCTATGTAAACTATAATTATTTTGCTAAGAGACTGTATGCAAGCCCGCCAGCCCCGCCGGGCCCAGGGCAAAGCCCCTTCTTTGTACCTATTTTTTTATTACAAATATACTAATTGGTTCTTTATATTTTCAGAGGTTATTGTATGAGATTGTCTATCAATAGTACTTTTATGACTGTAAATACTCTGCTCTCTCCGTGTGAGTTCTCACCTAGACTTTGATTCGCGCGTGCGAACTGAACGCTGATCAGTATTTTTATCAACACCCAGGAACTGTTACACCTTTTATTTTGTCTTTTAGGAAATCCCCGTCTTTCCATTTTTTCATGTAAATTTTGCACAGTTACTTGTTCATATGTAAATATTTTACTTTCAAAAATGAAGTTTTTAATTGCTATTGTTTTATATAGGATTGAAAGAAAATTAACTCCTTTATTAAAAACAAATTTATCTGTATTCGTTTTGCCTGTTTTTCCCAGTTTTCCCATTTTAGATTTGGCCTGGGGGGGGTGGGGGTCTGTCTGTAGCTGCCTGTTAGAATCGGCAACTGAAACACATGCACGGGCCCCCCGAGACCCAGGGCCTGGAAGCCTCATGCTCCAGCAGCCCAACCCAGCTGGGACACGGGCGGGGGCTGCCGTGTGCAGGTGAGCTGGGGGGGCAGGGGGCCCCAGGAACATGCCTGGGTCCTGGCTTAGGTGACCATATGGCCCCAGCCCTGATGCAGACCCCCATGGCGGCCCGGGCTGGTCGCGGTGGGAGCCTCAGCGTTATGGGCAGCCTTGGGGATCTCGGCCCCGGCGGGGAACGTGTCACAGGCGCAGCTGCTCGCTGGATGCCACACACGGCCCCCAGGGCAGTCGCCAGCGTGATCGGAGGAGGTTCCCAGTTACTGCCGTTGCCAGGGCTGGTCCAGCTGCGCGGGGTGTGTTGGTCAGTTCACGGCTCACACCGGACTCTCGGCTCACCCCATGCTGTTACTCTGGTCTCCCGGGGCCGCCGCGGCGAAGGACCCCGGCCCGGACCAGGGCCCCAAGCCACAGCGTCACACCACGGCCAGGGCGGCAGCTGGTGCCTTCCGAGTCTGAGGGCTCTGCCCGCCGGCCTCTGCTGGTCACTGGCGTCCCTGGTTGGCCCTCGGCTCCTAGCATCGGCTCCCTGACCTCTGCCTTCACCTTCACTCGGTGCCCCCCCAAGTTTCCCCGTTTTGTAAGACACCAGTCACACTGGATTCCCCCTCCCCCAAACGGCCTCCTTTGACTCCACCCCATCTCCAAATAAAGTCAATTCTAAGGTCCTGGGGGCAAGGACACAACTCAGCCCTTAGGCCGTGAGGGCGCACACGCTCCCGCCCTCCCTTGGCGCGGCCACGCCCACGGGACTGACTTCTTAGGTTCCGACTGAGTTCTTGGCCTGACATAAACCGGCTCGGTCAGTGGAGGACAGTTGAGCTTGGACTCTGCCAGTGTGACTGATGCCGTTTCCCTCTTCTGCTCCTGCCGCTGGTCCCGCGAGTCCACCCAGCCCAGTCGCCCAAGGCACGGGGTCCCCGAGAGCATGAGGGTCCCCACAGGGGTCCCGCGAGTCCGCCCAGCCCAGTCGCCCAAGGCACAGGGTCCCCGAGAGCATGAGGGTCCCCACAGGGGTCCCGCAAGTCCGCCCAGCCCAGTCGCCCAAGGCACGGGGTCCCCCAAGCATGAGGGTCCCCACAGGGGTCCCGCGAGTCCGCCCAGCCCAGTCGCCCAAGGCACAGGGTCCCCCAACCATGAGGGTCCCCACAGCGAGCCTGGCGTGTGCTCGGTTCTCGGGTTTGCTCATGTGTTCTGTGCTTGAGCCCCTCCGTGGCTGGTTGGTGCCGCTCTAAGCCACGTCACTAGTGGCCCTTCGGTCCGATTTCGATATTTGACAAGGACGCCTGTTCCCACCACCCCACCACCCCCAGCGTGCTGGCAGTTCCAGGCAAAAAAAAAAAAAAAAAGGCAGGAAGAAGACATAGGGCATCGAGTTTAGGGAGGAAGAAGGTGAACCCAGAACTCAGAGGGGCCACGACGGTGTGCAGCCGAAGGCCACACGGCTGCGGTCACCTGACTGAGGGTCACATGGCAGGGTTGTGTGTAGTGACAAATCTAGCAACAGTCAGAAAGTGTAAAACGTGCCGGGAGCAGTGGCGCCAAGAACAGGAACAGCGAGGAACACATTTTGGGACGATGTGTAAGGCCCTCACACTGAAACTGGAGCACCCGAAGAGGACCTGATGGAGAACTAGCCCCCGTTCACGGAGCGGGGGGCCCGACCCGGTGTCGCGGAGGGGGCGGTTCTGTCCTGGCTGATAGGTAGGTCTGGTGCCGCCTCAATCAAAATCCCGGTAGGTTTCCGTAGAAATTGACAAACGGACTCCAAAACCGCAGGTGGGAATGGATGCAGAGCGCCTGGCGTGCGCGGCCCGGACTGCAGCGCCCGCAGACTCTGTCTGGTCTCCGGGGGCTCCCGCGTGCCGGGCTCGGTGCTGGCGAGGACGGCACGCCAGTGGGACCGAGCGGGCCAGATGGAGCCGCACCTCACCGTCACTGGGTTGTTTTTTGTTTTCTGAGACAGAGTCTCGCTTTGTTGCCTGGGCTAGAGTGCCGTGGCGTCAGCCTCGCTCACAGCAACCTCAAACTCCTGGGCTCAGGTGATCCTCCTGCCTCAGCCTCCCCAGCAGCTGGGACTACAGGCATGCGCCACCATGCCTGGCTAATTTTTTCTATATGTATTAGTTGTCCAGCTAATTTCTTTCTATTTTTAGTAGAGGCGGGGTCTCGCTCTTGCTCAGGCTGGTCTCAAACTCCTGAGCTCAATCGATCCTCCCGCCTCGGCCTCCCAGAGTGCTGGGATGGATGACAGGCGTGAGCCGCCCCGCCCGGCCGGTCACTGGGTTTTTGACAAAGGCAGGTGCAGTTCCCAGAGGAAGGGAGGCTGCGCGTGGGGACACGAGCCTGGGGGTTGTCTTCGCGCCACCTGTGGCCGCCAGCTGGAGGTGGCTCGCAGGCCGGGCAGCGACAGCTGAGTGCGCAGAGCCCGCTGGGACACTTCGGGGACGAGCTCCGAGAGCGGAGCGGGCGAGGGTTTCTAGGGATGCGGGCGGCACAGGTCGCGGAGAAGACGTTGACGAGCCGGGCTGCGGACTTGCGCTAGCCGCGGCTGAGCCTTCCTCGCCTCGGCCTCGCGTGCTGCGCTGCGGGGTGGGGTCCCAGGGCTTCTTCAGACTGGCTGGTTCCTAACATTCTGTTTCCACAACATACGATTCAAATGTAGTAAGAAACATTCTGAGAAAAAGCCTAATGTCTATTTAATTCTTAGTACATGAAATACGTTCTTTCTGAAAAAGATTAGATATTAATCCCTGTTGTTTGTTTTGCTTTTTATCGACACATGATAAGCGTATTGGGGGCTACATGTGGCAGTGCATTCCTACGTGTAAAGATGGAATGGATCTGGGGGATGGCCATGCTGGAAACTCAGACTTGGGGAGGGGGGGAAAGGGCATTTATTGAAACCTTAAAATTTGTACCCCCATAATATGCCGAAATAAAAAAAAAGATCGAATGGGGTAATCGGGATGTCCATCGCCCTAAGTATTTGTCTTTCCTTTATGGGGAGACATTGGAATTATTCCCTTTTAGCTGTTTTGGGACGCGCAGCAGATTACAGTAAGTCACAGTCGCCCCCTGCTCTGTGCGCACCAGTGTTTCTTCCGACCGTGCGTTTGTGCCCGTCAGTCAACCTGTCTCCTTCCCCACCCCGCCCCAGCTCTGGTCACCGCCCCTCCACTCTCTCTTCCTGAGCATGTATTTTTTAGGTTAGTGGCTTGCTGTGCCACTGAGAAAGTGAAATGTAAATTCCTCTTTAGAATGTAAGAAGACAAAGGTATCCCTGTGAAAATAAAACAGCAAGCCACGGGCTTGGAGAGGTGTTTGCAAAACTCACACCTGACAAGGGAATAGAGAATGCTACAACTCAGTAACCAAAAAGCAACCCAACAGAACAGGTGCTTCCCAGGAGGTGCACAAACGGCGGACGGCGGCGTCATCGCCGGCGACTGGGAGCTGCGGATGGAGAGTGCAGGGAGATGGCACAGCACACCCGACGGCTCGAGCGGAGAGGCGCGTGGAACAGGACAGCCGTGGGCAGGTGCGCCCACGCCCTGCTGGCCGAAGCGTGGCACGGCGTAGCCACTTTGCGACACCGTTTGGCTTTTTCTGTGGAGTGAGACCTAAGTCTGCCGGCAGCCCCACGCCTGCACGTCACTCCGGACGTGGACCCCTGTGTCTACCGGGAAGACACCAGGGCGTCCATGGTGGCTTCCTCCTCGATGGACCCTCCTCGTCGGTGGCGTCCGGCGAGTGGGTGGGCACCGGTGTCTGCTCGGTGCGGTGCCCCTGGGGGAGGGGGGTGCGGGACACAGGCGCCTGGGCGGTGTAGGTGGCCTAAGTGACGCCGAGGGAGGTGCCGGACACAGGCGCCTGCGCGGTGTAGGTGGCCTCAGTGACTCCGAGGGGGGTGCCGGGCACAGGCGCCTGTGCGGTGTAGGTGGCCTTGGTGACTCCGAGGGGGGGTGCCAGACACAGGCGCCTGCATGGTGTAGGTGGCCTTGGTGACTCCGAGGGGGGGTGCCGGACACAGGCGCCTGCGCGGTGTAGGTGGCCTTGGTGACTCCGAGTGGGGGTGCCGGGCACAGGCGCCTGCGCGGTGTAGGTGGCCTTGGTGACTCCGAGGGGGGGTGCCGGGCACAGGCGCCTGCGCGCTCCGATCCCTTGTGACGGAGGTTCAGGAGCAGGCTGCGCCGTCCGCGGTGGCGGGCGTCTGGAAGGGGCGGGGTCTCCCGGTGCCGGGTGTGCGTGTGGGTCTGGCCGTGGGGATGCAGAAGCCTCGCTGACAGGTGAGAGGTGAGTATCCGGGCGCACGTCAAGTGTGGCCAGGACGGCGGGGGCGGGGGGTGGCGCAGAGCTGAGTGTCAGCCCCCGGGCAGGTCGCCTGCCCGCACCTCTGTGACCTGGCACAGGTGAGACAGGCGTGTGATGCCCGGGAGCCGGTCGCTGTCGGAGTGTCGTTCCTGCAGAGCTGGTGGCTCTCCGGGCACCGAGCTGCTGGCACGCTTCCCTTTATGAGACAGCGATCGCCAAATGTCATTTTTGTTGTTGTTTTGTTCTTTGAGACAGAGTCTCGCTCTGTCACCCAGGCTGGAGTGCAGTGCCGTCATCGTAGCTCACTGCAGCCTCCCACTCCTGGGCTCAGGCAATCCTCAAGTGATCCTCCTGCCTCAGCCTCCCGAGTAGCTGGGACTACGGGTGTGCGCCGCTGTGCCCCGCCCTCCAAGTGTGATTTTTATCTAAGAAAGGAAAGTCTCACTGAGCTTCTCCTCCAGCCCGCCTTTGGGACACCCTCCCCGCCCCCGGCCCACACCCGGCCCGGGCAGC